ACTGTAGGATTCACATCCTGGGGGGAAAGTAAGGCTTCTTTCTTTGCTGCTTGTAAAACCTCTTAATCTGACTTTACCACTTCTCAGGGAAGAACTGTTCTCCAGATGACAGAAAATATATTAAAGAGGACTTTGAAATGTTTGCTTTGAACTCTTCAGAAATCATGACTAGGATCTGATAAGAGTGTTAAGTGAACAACAGTGAGTGTCTCGAGTCCAGATCGCTGAAGGACTCCATACACCTAGCAGGAGGAGATGTTGAGGCCGGATAAATGCCCAAGCAGTTACTCCTCTTTACAGTCCCATCCAGTTATTCAGGGTCTAAGACCAGACTCACCAACATGTTTCTGATGTGATTATACAAAAATCAGAGCATTTTCCTAGCATTGTTCCTGACAAGGGCTCTTGCATGCTTGATTTCTACATACTGCTTGATTCTCAGGAGAGTTCCCTTCCCAGGGAAGTATTTATATTTTTTCTGTAATGGTTTACCAGGAGAAATGGAGTACGTCTGTGCACCTCAGCATTAGAATGAGCAGCTCAGAGATAGCTGGATTCCCATTTCCTCTTCCAGGGCTCCTTCTGTCTTATCCAACAAGTATGAACATGGTCCTTTAAGCGGATAAAATACAGAGACAGTGCTGGAAGCAGAGAACAGTCTACAGAAACACCTTTCCCAACAGACAGGTTTATTAGTTATTAGGTAAAAGATGGGCCATAATGTATCCTGAGCTGCCTGTGGCATTGTTCTTGTAGGATTAGGGAGCAACTGATTGAGACTTTTTCAGCACTTTGGGTACAGGTGCAATTTCCATCCAAGTCCCTTTTACATAGCAGGGAGCAAAAGCCGAAAAGTTGGGTTTGTGTTATAACATGTATTGACTTCACAGGGGAGAAGTCTCTCTGAAACTCGAACAAATGCTTTTTGGTCATGGACAAAGAAGCCACACGTACATGGAGAAGGGTCCTTTAGACAAAACCATAAGGCACTTTGGACCCCAGCCGTTCTGAGGAATCAGCTGGGTACTTTGCAGGTCACCCAGAAATGTCTCAGCCCTTTTTGCTGCTGTCTCCTGTATGGGCTTTATCTTACATCCTCCCATTTGTGCCAAGTGGGATACAGCTGAGGTGAGTTTGTTTTCCATCCCCCTGATTTTTCCAGTATCTTCTTGGAGTCTCCTACTTAAAGGTACAGAGGTTCCAAAGAAAGAAATACAAAAGCAATGACTGTCTGCCTTTGCCCCATGTGTTTTTTGTATCTTTGTTATTTGGGTGGCTCTGTTTTGTCTGGTCTGTATCTGTGATACTATTTCTATCCAGCTCTGTTTCCTGTCCACAATCACCAGCACCATTGTAACTCCTGATTTGTGCAGTGGTCTGGAAGTAAAGATGCACACACAAGCTGGAAGTTATCAACATCTCCTGTTTTTTTAGATGGAACAACTAGGATAAAGCTTAGTGTGGATGAGCTTCCTTCACCAGTGATGGGGAGAAGCACATTCCCTCGTGCTACAGCTTTGAATAGAAGGAGCCACAGGTCTGTGGATCAGTCTCAGCTTCACAAACAGAATGGAGAGTGTCCTTCCCATCTCCAGCCCTCTGGAAGGGGATCTTCCATGAACCATGCCAGCCAGCTGGCTGGTGGTCCCAGGAGAGAAGCTGGCTCTCTCTCCCCAGCACAGAGCTGTTGGCTCCTCATTCCTCAGCACCTTAGTGGCTTCAGCATGAGCAGTAAGACTTCAGCCTCTCCATTTCTGCAGCGTGTGGCTGTGGCACCTTGCAGCCTAGACCATACCCACAGCTGGACACAGTGTTTCGCTTGGTGCTCTCGCTGGAGGTGACAGCAGCACAAATTGCCTTCTCCAGAGCAACCCTCAACACCCTCTGGTGATCCCCCAAGCCTCACTTCTTCCACTTCTTTCTGTCTTTAACATTGCAGTCCTCATTTTGCTAAGTGGAAGTGTGTGCCTGGCAGAAGCACATACACCTACTCATAAGACCCACCTAGAGCAAAAAAACCTTGACCTTTGTTTTCAAAAATGAAGTCTCAGTATCCTTATACTACCTTCAAATGCAACTGCAGGATCTGCATAATTGAAACTTTTTCTCTAATCTCATTACCTCCCTCAGGCAGTTCCTGACAAGTGGAGATTATAAATGAGAATTTGTAATAATCATAGCTAAAAGAAAGGTATCTTTAGTACTTTTGCAATATATTCAAAGCAGTTTGGGCATGAGCAGAGAACTCATTTCTATTTCATCTCAAATGCCACTATGTTTATTAAATTAGAAGTGGCATTAATGCTAGAACATATCCAGATCTTTTTGTGATTTTGTATTTATCATAACTGAAAGATCTCACTAAATATTTCTCTATATCTCTAAATAACATTGCCTGTCGTGTAATATTTATCTCCGATTTTCCTCAGTGTTTTTGTATCAGAGCTGAAAATGAGCTATCACAGAGAATAAAATGGGACTGAAATACCAGTCCTTTGTATTAAATTTAACATTTGGCTTCTGTCCCAGAAATTTCCACATCCATATTAGAATCAGATGGTAGCATAAGATGAAAAGATCTCCTGGATGGGTTTTATTTTGTTCCTTATTAAAGGGCTGATAGCAGACTGGAGGCAAGATACTTGTTGTAGTAAAAAAGCCTGCCTAATATCAAAGGCTGGACGGACAAACTGACGTGTTATTGTTAGGCCTTCCTCCTTGATCACTTTTCAGTACCATAAAATCATTCTGCTAGTGGAAGTGACATATAAAAACTTCAATGTGAGAGTAAAAAGCCCAGACTGGCAGGTATTACTGCTGTGGGTACACATTTTGACCATAAGCCAAGGAAAGGGTTTAATAACAAAAAGTATTGTTGGTGACAGCACAGTGTAGCTGTATTTATTTTATTCTCAAGTATTTGCATTCATGGAAGTCTGCCTTGTCCTGATTTACCTGAAACTGGTATCACATGTGATATGACAGCATAGGGCAGCCCCACTGGTATTGCTCAGTCTTCAGAAGTTGTGCATCCTCTGCCCTATTCACAAACCAGCACTTGCCCCAGATTCCTTTGGCAGTCTGGAGTCAGAAAGATCAAAGAGACCTAAATAGTCTTCAGAAAGCAATTTTGTCTTTATTCAAAGCAGCTTTGTATAGTTCTTGTGTATTATTTGACTGAAATTGTACAAACATTTGCAGGCTCTGGGTGTTGTATGCAAAAACAATTACTTTTGATGAAATGAAGGAATGGTGCTTTCTGGTGGTGTTGCTCTGCTGTAGTGGAGACTCTGAACATGATATTGGAGCTATAAATTAGATTTTGCAAAGCAGCATTTCTGTAGGGAGTCTGCTGCTTCAGACCAACAGGCTATAATCAGCATTTTTTGAGATTATGCCTGTGTTTTGTCACAGTATCTTCAGCAAGAGAAGTAGAGCAGCAATTGCAGACTGCATTTCAGTTCATTTCAGCTTTTGATCACAAAGGCTGTCAAAGAGCAAATATGCTTTGTAGGTATTTTATTCTGTTTTTCTAAATGCACCTTTTAAAGGCTGTCATGTGGTTTGAACTTACAGACAGAGAATCATTTCACTGGCACTGGCTGTTTGCAGCATCAACGCTTGAGCTTATACCCAGTGCTCCTTTTACAATCAGTGGAGAGAAATGTGAACATTTAAAGGAGTTTATTTAATGAATCTGATTATTTTAGACATCTTTCCAGTGAGAGGGCTTGTATTTTAGAAGACTCTATTTCTCTTCTCAGCAATAATTAATCCTAGCATATTTAGTTCAGGATGTGTTATCTGCAGTTAGGTGAGCTGGATCCCATACAGCATATTTCTGAATAGCACTGTGTTCTCACTTGGCTACTAATACTGTTTGTATGAATACTTTTGGGGTTTTATTTTAATTATCAGATTATCCTAGGGAACACATAAAGAGATCAGTTGTGTATGTAAGAAATGCTTGGTTCAAGCAAGCTTGCTACAAGATTATTACTGCTGATAATTACAGCTATCTTAATGCTTCCTATGAAATCTGTTTTGGTAATTGTATTGATCCTGTCCTCCTCAGGTACCAGTTCAATGTAAAACATCTTTTTGGATGAAGAATACATTCTCTTGGGTACATGGACAATCCAAAGGGACTTAATATCAGGCAAAAATCTCTGAGAAAAAGTGAGACCTTCTTTCATTCTCCTGAAAACATCTTTAAGGAGCTCGGATGAATGGAGCTGTGGCACATACATGCCTGCTTTCAGGAGTGTTACAAGAACTGGGCTGAGGGATAAGGAAGCATAATTTGTATTTGTGAACAGTGTTGATGCCCTGTTCATTTGGGTTCACCTGAACCATGCTTATGGATTCATTCAAATAGAGAAAAAGCCCTCAAGGCTGGTCTCCTCAAGATGTGTTTGCCATTTATGACAGGGCACAAAGGGTAAGTAGCATCTTAGGACAGAATTTCCTATGAACAACTCTCAGGAAAAAAAGTAGAATAATACCTATTAATTAAGGAATCAAAGTTATTTCTGAAGTGTGTAGATGTAGTCACAGAATAGGAGTATTAAGGTATTATTGGTCTCATGTTTGTCACTTGTTACTATATTATACTGGTGCAAGCACATTGAGGATGATGGCTGCTGGAAACTGGTTCCCTGAAAACCTTTCTTATTCACTACCTCGAAATCTAGAATTACTTATGGAAATCTTTGCTTTAGTGTACAGTTCTCATGTCTGGATTACTGACATCCAAAACCACAAGGCTCCCTGGTATCGTCCTCTGAGCATTAGTTTTCCTCTGATTAATCTTCTGGTTGATTACATAATTAATTTTTTTAGATAAATATGTATTCTGTTTCTTTAATTAATTAAGTCTTTCACCTCATCTTTGCTCATGCTTCCCTCCTTTGTCAAAGTCTCCCGTTAACTCTTGCAACATTACCTAGTGACACAAATGCTTTTCTTTCTCTCCTTTTTTTATTTTTTCTCTTTTACAGACTTAAGTGAAGTTGCACCATGCATTTTGAAGATGTCACCAACAGACCAGCAGTTAAACAAGCTGGCGAGGAGGCTGGGACCTGAATGGGAGCATGTAGTTCTATGCTTGGGTTTGTCCCATACTGACATCTATCGATGTAAAGTCAATCACCCTCACAACCTGCAGTCACAGATCGTAGCTGCATTTGTCCTGTGGAAACAGCGTTTGGGAAAAAAAGCAACAATCCAAAGCCTGCACGCCAGCCTGAAGGCAGAGGAAGTGGATCCTTCGGTGATACAGTACATGCTTGAATAAAGCCGTGCTATTTATTCAGAGCTTCCACATTCAATCAACTAAAGAGGGTGGAAGTGTATGTTGAAGATCGGATGCCTCAAACTGTAAAAACAAGTGGGGCTGGGAACTGTGATTTTATTAAGCTTAAACATTCCAATTTTCTGTGGCATCTTGTGACTTGTAATTCTTTTCATGCAGATTAATTTTTAGCAGGCATTAAAAAGTGTATCACTCTTTCATGTTCCCTTTTGTGCTATTTCAGTGGGGATATAGGGTGACAAAGTTCTTGCAAGCAGGTGAGCCTGCAGTGAGTTCAGCAAGGTTTTCGATTTCACTTAGGGAGCAAGACTTGGTTTAACTTATTTTCTGGACTATGTAGGAGCCTCTTTACTGCTGTTTCATGCTAGTTCCCTGATACTAAAGCAAGAAATGAGACTAATCACCATTATTAATTTAACAATTTTGCAACAGTTATTGCAGGTGGTTAATTTCACATTTATAAAAGTTTCAGCACATACATTTTCTTGCTAGAATAGATGGCTGCCACTTTGGTCTGCCTTTGAAAAAGGCCCTAAGTGGAAGTAGCAGGAATGTAGTGTGCCTGTGAGGGTTTCTGCAGTTATTATTTAATGGGTGTAGGTTTCTGCAGGCACCCCCTATGTGCATATGCCATGTCACAGGTGGGGAGTTCTCAGGAAAGACACACAGTAGAAAAGTGACCAGAAGTAGGCAAGAACCAGGTAAACTGAGCAAGAAGCAGCCTAAAAAAGGAGACAACTTCTAAGTTGTCTGTGTTTGTCTCTTCTAATAAATTGGGAGACTGTCTGGTGCCTGCTGAGTCTTTGAACTGTGCTCTGTATCCAGGCAATCTTGTTTCATGGTGAGGTCAAGCATCCATAGGCACATTGCTCTGACCACTGCACATCCAACAGGGTAGTGAATTTTGCAGGTCCTTTTTGGTCAAGATGAACTTCCCACTGCTCTCCCTCCAGCGTCCCTCTAGCCATCCACCAGGCTAATTTGCTTTCTACCATCTTTTCTGTACCTAGTGGGGCAGCTTTGACACCGCTGTCCTCAGTTCTTTGCCAGTGCAGTTGTACCACCAATGAAGATAAGATTTTATGCAGAGAAGCAGTAAATCTCTCTCCTCCTTCACTTCTGTCATGGAGATTTTATTCTTGCTGGAAAAAAATACTGAGATTTTTGCTGACCAGGCAAATGGGGATCACTCTGCAGGATACCCAAAGGCAATGGGAGTGACCATCTCCTCTCTGAGGCCTAATGATAAAGAGGCAGAATACATTTTAATTCTCTCTGAGCAGTTTGCTGTATAGTAAATGAAGAACAGAATTTTGATGCTGAGTTTCTAGGTCTATTTATGAACAAGGTACTTTAGACTGTTTCATCTACAGAGTCATTGCCGCAGAACTTACCATGCTGCAAAATTTGCTCTAATTTCACAGCTTAATAGCCTTGTCTGAAGTCTTTATTGGGGCAAGAATGAACTTTACTGCTTTTTTTTTTTGTTGTTGTTGTTGTTTTTATACCCAAAGAAATGCTATATGCCTTGGTTTTTAGAAGCATGGAAACAGAAAATGTATCCTGGCAGCATCTGGCTCCTGCAGGTTCAGAAGAAATCTGGTAGAATTTTGGTTTTAATCTTCTGTATACAGTTCTGACCTTCAGCAAATTGTGATACTGTTATACTTCACTCAGATCTTAACTAATCATCTTCAGATCATAACTATTCATATCTTACTTCCAGAGATTCACTATATCGATAAATTCCAGATAAACAAGGTAAATCAATTTAGGGTTTGGGATTTATTTATTTTTTCTGTTTCATGATGCTTTAATGCCAACATGTTCTTTTTTAGGTGGAAAACCATCCCAGAGCAGGTGTACAGACATTTGGCAAATTCATATAAGCACAGCCCAGCACAGCGAGTGGGATGAGGACTCTGATGCAATTCTGACAGTGAGATTGACAGGAGCATGGTTTGCATATTAGGGAAGAGAGGCAAAGCAGTCTTCCTGGCAGCAGCTTAGAGGGAAAAAAGCTACAGATGATTGACAGGAGAAACTACTGAAATATGATTTAGAGGAAGAAGTTGACTCCAAATGTAAGTACCTTATCTTGTTCTGAACCAACATGAACCAATTCTGAACACAGACTTGTCTTCAAGGCAGTTCATCTCCAGTTAATCCAGAATGAGCACAGTGCTCCAAGGAGGCAACCAGTCTGGACAGTAAAACAATATAATTGGCACACTCACAGGACCCTGGTACCTTCTTCTCTGGGTGAACTTTGCATTTCATATTCTTCATTTTGTGAAATCGTAGGATGGTTTGAGTTTAAAAGGACCTCCAAGACCATCTAGCTCCATCACATCTGCCACGGGCACCTTTCAGTACACCAGTTTGCTCAAAGCCCCATCCAGCCTGGCCTTGAATGCTTCCAGGAATGAGGCATCCAAACATTTCTAGGCAATCTGTTCCAGTGCCTCATCACCCTCACAGTTGAAAATTTCTCCCTAATATTTAATCTAAACCTACCTTCTTTCAGTTTGAAGCCACTCCTCCTTGTCCTATCACTACATGTCCTTGTAAAAAGTCCCTCTCCAGCTTTCTTGTAGGCCCTTTTTAGGTAGTGGACAGTGCTATAAGGTCTCCCCATAACCTTCTCTTCTCCAGGCTGAGCAGTCCCAACTATCACGGCCTTTCCTCACAAGAGAGGTGCTCCAGTTCTCTGGTCCTCTTGATGGCACTTCTCTGGACTCACTCCAGCACTTCTATGCCCTTCTTGGGTGTGGACTCCAGAGCTGTTAGCAGCACTCCGGGTGGGGTCTTACAAGAGTGGAGAAGAGGTAGAGAATCACCTCCTTTAACCTGCTGGCCATGCTTCTTTTGATGTAGCCCAGGATATAGTTGGCAATGTCAGGTTATCCATAACTAATATACTTAGAGTCTTTTTAATGGTTAGGAAAACAATCTTCAGTAGATGTGAAATTTTATGCCAAATAAGGCTTCCTTTCAAGCCAGGTGTCTGAGTATCTACTATGAGCCTCTGGAAAACTTGATGGGTGAGTATCATATCAGGTAATGTCTCCAACTTCTTTAGGTGGGCTAAATGTTACAACCTTTGCACCTGGTACTAAAATTACAGGAGCCACAGGTAGGCAAGGATTTTAAAACTTTGCCTCTCGTATTGTAGAGCAAATCATATAATTCATAATTTGTATTTCCTGCTTTCACATTCTCAGGGCCTAAATGAATCCTCTAATACTTGAGTTGCAAATATTGAAGGGAGAGGTTTACTTGTTTTTATGAGATTGTTTCCATTGCTGTTATTTTTAAATTCATGGAAATGTTCCTGTTAGACTCTTGATTTTTATTAAAGCTTGTTTTTGCACTACACAAATGGAGGGATACATTTAACTGACAGTAGTATTCCTTTAACCCAGTGGATTTTTCCATCCACTTAAAAATGTTTTTCTTCTGTATGTAATGCTTTATTTTGCACAAGGATGCAATTAAGACAATTTAGTTCTTCAGATGTATAGTAAGGCCTCTTATTCTCTCATAGAACACTCAGAAGATCTTAAAATGTTTATTCTTTTCTGCTAATTTAAGAGCAAATGTTATTTATTTAAATCTCATGGACAAGCCTGTGACTTGAGTGTTGGTCAGGACTGAGGCAATTCAGTGACTTTCCTCATCTCTCCCTTTGCCTCAAACTCCTTTGTGCCAAAATTTGAGTGAAGACAGGAGACTTGCACAGGGGCTCCTGTCCTCCCTGCCCACTGTGCTTCCAGGACTGGTGCAGGGGGCAGGCTGGCTTCCAGGGGAGCCCCAGTTCCACTGCTTGTAGTGAGGTGTGCAGCCACTCTGGGCTTTGGGGTGGAGCGTGAGTTTGGCAAAGGTGAGCCAGCAGAAGCTTCTCTCTGATGTGTTTAGGTTTCTTAACTAATGTCAAAAAGTATTCACTTGTGAAACTGGTATTATTGGTATCTACTTATTTGTGGCAGAGTTTAGGAGCTCCAAGACAGGAAAGCATAAATGTGACCACTGCTGGAGCTTCCATTGAAACAGGTGGCATAACTTCCAGTCCTTGGAAGAAGCGGTCATTGATTTTCTTCCTTGGTCTCCAGAGGAGACTCTGATATCCCATTTAACTCTTCTAAGTGATAAATAAGTTCTACAAAACTGTTTTGTACTCTGCAGGTACGGGTGGACTCTTAGCATGGCAATAGACAAGACCTAAGAGCACTAATTCTCACCTGCATAAGCTGTATGAATGATCACAAAGGAAGGATTTTCTCAGGGGAAAAGCATGTCAGACTGCCAGCATTTAAGAGTGGCTGGAGTGTAAAATGAAAATGCAGTCATCTGTGAGCCACTTCTCCCAGATATAGTGGGGGAAATTTCCATCTGGAGTCCTATTTTATGACAGTCATTGATCTATGGAATAAAACATTTTCCAAAAGTCTGGAAAAATAAACAATGTCATATTATATTCAAAGAAAATAAAAGGCATGCTCATCTCATGTTCAATGTGGTCATCCTGCCAGTTTTGTTTCTCATTGGAAATGAAAACAGTCTCTGAGAGCTAATCTGTTTATAAGCTTCTATACTCTCCATAGACATAGAGCAATGTCAAAACATAGTAGAAGTAGAGCTAAAAGGACAGTTGATAAGACCTTTGTCTGTTTACAGCGAATATTCAAAATCTTTGTCCAAATTTCACTAAATGAGAAGAATTTTAATTTTCAAGGTGTCTTACTGGCACCTAAGATCTAAAGATCTAAAAGTGATTTGACTTTTCCCCTACTGAATGTAGTGTCTTTTTTTAATTAATGACCTGAAAAAAACGAGCACTTGACAGAAAGAAAAAATAACCAGATTAAAAAATTAGTATGTATTTTAGCAGAATTCATTTCTGAACCTAGCATTTTAGTTGTGAAAAAAGATTAATTGTAATTTCCTTTTGAAACTGGTGGCAGGGCTGATGATGGCATAGGAAGATTCCTGTCTCTTCTGCAGGAAGAGACTGCATTAAAACGTGTATGTGCCATTTCTGAAGCTGATGTCTGGTCCAAGCCCCAAGAGCAAAGACAAAAAGTCTCTTATTAACTTCAGTGAGCCTTGGATTAGGCCTTCTTTAATTGGAACCTGCTGAAGCATGGTACTTTTACTATCTCCTTTTGAAAAAGCAATCTTCTTGGATTTGAAGCAATCAATAGGAAAGGGAGTTTTGTGTATGTAGTAAGCGTTCTAGGCTATGGGGTCATCTTTTCTCTGCCACAAGGACTACTTTGCACTATTCACTTCAAAGTAAGTGCCATGAGAAAGTAAAAAAAAAAAAACAAAAAACCAAACAAACAAAAAAAACCCCACAAAACAGAAAAGTGGAGCCATTCAGCAAAGGATATTGGTAAGCCTCCAAAACCAAGATAATTTTGAGTTTTGGAATGAGAATAATCCCATAAAACCTGGGATTTGATGGCTCAGGAGACCACTAATACATTAATGGAGTTTCCACCTTGAGATCAAGGTTGCAAAGCCACTGTTGACTCAAAAGAAGCACAATGTAATATAAATCTGTGGGTTTTCTTTCTTCTTTTTTTTTACAATTTTCACATCTGACCCACCCAGAACCAGCCCTTGCTTTCAAACTTGGGAAAGGGCAGGCAGGATCAAATGAGCCAAGTACCTGAACTGACCTCAGGCAAGGAGAGGGACAAACCCTGGGGCAGAGGCATAGTAGGTACTGTGCTTTGCTGTGGCTGCTGAGATTTGTGCAGAGGCCACTGGGTTCTCAGGGT